CTGTGATATCCTATACACTGTGATATCCTATACACTGTGATATCCTATACACTGTGATATCCTATACACTATGATATCCTATACACTATGATATCTATACACTATAATACCCAAGTAAATAATAAACACTGATTCTTATTGACTTACTTATCCATCAAGTTTTCTCCGTTAAAATGTAAGCAATCAAATACAAACAAACACACACTAGCGTCTTGAAATGCTGCTTTCTAGAAACAACAGGAACGATGATTATAAAAAAAATGACAACAATAATACAATTACAGATGTCTGCACCTTGTGGAAAAGTTACACTGAATTCTCAAAGGCATTCTGGTAATACAATGCAGAAGTAAATTATTGATGTTGAAGTATGTTCTATCAATGATTTTTTAAAAATTTTGACATAATTTTGTATTATAAAAACTAAAAGAAATTATTATTTTACGGTTCATTACCTTGTGAACACCCAAGGTTCCAAATGGCAGAGGTATTCCAGTGTTAGTATCCACTAGTAAAACCTGAAATTTCAAAAATGGAAATAATTAGTTTTCGAATAAAGAAAATTCAGCTAAATATCAGGATGCAAAAAAGGATAACAACATATCAACACTTTGTATTCCATAGACTTTTCCGTTATAATTTCTGTGCAATAAATACTTCGCACATTTTTACATATACATGTATATTTCTATAATTTCGGTTTTGACCAAACTGACTTCCTATTAGCTACATCTCAGCGGACACAATTGATTACTGCCAGAGTTTTGCATCAATCTGAGCTGTAGGCGATGCTTGATGCTACTTAGGCAGTATTTGCATCAATCTGAGCTGTAGGCGATGCTTGATGCTACTTAGGCAGTATTTGCATCAATCTGAGCTGTAGGCGATGCTTGATGCTACTTAGGCAGTATTTGCATCAATCTGAGCTGTAGGCGATGCTTGATGCTACTTAGGCAGTATTTGCTGATGTCAAACTAAGAGAAAATATCATGGGATTATATATTTACTACATACATAACAACAAAGTTTAGCAGTATGTGACATAAAAATGTTCAAATCAACAATTTTGAAAAAAAAAATCTGAAACAATTTGTAGATTTATTTGGTGAAAGATGGTGTAAGTTAGCTTTGGCACACTGGTGTCAAAAACAGACAACAGAGGGCTCCCTCACCCATATTTCATACATTTCAAAATATACATACATACCTCAGCATCTAAAATTAAACTGTTACCATGGGGACATGCCTTTGGTAGAAATTCCTTAAAGTGTGCAACCTTGTGTGGGAGGACTTGTTTCAAACTTCGACTATAATACTGGAAATCGTCTCCTTCTTTATGGACCTGAACTCTTTCCCCGTCATACTTTATTTCGGCGTACATTCCATTCTGACATTTTTTGAATGCATAATCAACTGATTTGCATGCTTCAGCCTTTGAAAAAAAGATCAAAATAAAGGCATGTATGGCAAATGATAAGTAACCAATCAAATGAATGAAATAGGCCATTATGCAAAATAGAAATTCCATATAAGCTACAAGTATCTTGATTCCATACATACATGTAGTATTTAATATTTCCTTATATGGTGGTGTTAGTTTTAAATATGGTAATAATGATTCCATTTATGCATGGTCCAATATCAGAGATTGTGTTAGCATTGTACATTTATATCTTTATTCCTGTTTCTCTAAAACAAAGAGAAAACTCAATAGGTCCATACAACCCCCTAAAATATGAAGATTTGAATAATTTTGTCTGTTTTTCTGGTTTTATTTTTTTTTTTACAAAGAAACCAACCAGGTAATATAAACTCTGAATGTGGCTCTGGGGAAGCAAAATCTTTGGGTTAATGCAAATGATTTACACTAAGTTTGGCGAATAAAATCTCACATAGTAGCTTTATTGTTTTATCCCCATTTACATGTATGAGACTGGTACAAAACCAACTACTGTAAAATCTGTATTAGAAGCCGCGGCTTCTATTAAAATGGTACAATGCAACAGAGGGGATGCGGCTTCTATTAGAGCATCTACACATATGAGAAATGGTGAATTTTAGATTCTCAATTATTCAAAAAGAATGGGTGCGACTTCTATTAGGGATGCGGCTTCTAATACAGATTTTACGGTACTGGTAACTACTATACATGCCCAAAGCATCATTAAAGGATGATTTGCATGTACTAGTATATAGAAGCTTGCCATAAAATGAAGGGGCATTTGTCGAGGCTTGACACGGATGAGGGAAGTACCTACCAGCATGGGCAAGACAGGGGTCATCAAAGACGCCCTCACACTGAGTTTCTTTTTCATACTAGGCACTCCATTACTTGCTTTGATATTTTCTTGTACTCTCTCCACAACGTCTTTTAAGTTCCTGGATGCTTGAAATGCTTCATATGCATTTGGATCAAGTGCTTCCAGTCTGTGGAAATAAAACCTAACTCAGATATACCAGTATGCATGACATAAGATCTACGCACATAGGCCAGAGTAATATTTGTTAACAACTTACATTAACAAGCATCACGCAAAATTGCATAATGACAGTACCCGATATGTCGTCAACAAATTAAAACTTAAATTTGTTAATTGAAATAGAGACGTACTCTAGTCGTAGCAAGGAGTTACTAACGGCAATCTCATTTTGTATCACCGCATAATACATGAATCTACTTTTGTAGTCAACAAAAGTCATAGCCATATGACGATGATAACGAACATTTCACTTACATATGTTTGGCTCCAGCATTCATTCGAAGATCATGCTTGAGTAGTCTAATAATTGTTTTAAGGTCGTTGCCTGTACACTGTTTAGCGATTCTCGTTAATTCTTGTTGCTGTTCATCTTCTTTGGTCAAAAAAGTCATTCTATCAAGAAAATTATCCACCTGAAATAAAAATAAAATACAGTTATTGATATGCTCAGTATGAATTGTCAATTTCCTAGAATAACTAACACCTGAATATTGACTGTAATGAAAAATGGCTTTCACTTTCCTCGAGATAAAACCAACTGCGTAATTTTTATTTTGAATTTAAAACTGGCGAATGATTAGACTGACCTGTATTTGTTTTAATAAATAAATACTACATACTGGATCATTCAAATGTGATTTATCATATTTGCTCTATTAGAAGCTCATTTCTTACAGAAGTGCTTATAAACTGAAAATCACACAAGTTGCATACTGAATGTTTAGACTACACATAAACAGCTCTGTAATTGATCTAAGTGCATGTGCTACTAATAGAGCATATCTACAATTATATATAAATACAATTTTTTGTTGGACATACATTTTATCATTTACATAAGTATTACTAATAGAAGTAATATGGTGAATAACATGAAGCAAAAATATTCACGAATTATAGCCCAGATATGGACTGTCAAAATTTATTAAATTTTTTTAATAATTTACACATAAATTTCAAATATTGTTCAAGTAAAGTTAAGACAAAATGACATTATGAAACATTTATTTGAACATGAAGATAACGAACCTCTTGCAAAGACAAAATACTTTTTTTCGCTGGAGGCAAAGATGATTCTTCCTCAAAAAATTTCTTGACAGTTTCAGAGACATCACCCTGTTCCAAATCAGTCAACATGTCATCCTGGCTGGCTCCAAAAATCTGAAAAAAAAGCAATTGTTTATAAAACAAAATGGCCACCAATCAGCCATTTTAAATCAAATCCTGAAACAAAATGAAGGACTTAAGTTATACCTAGCATTTTTTATTTTGACATAATGTTTGATTGAAATTGGGCGGAGACATTTAAATGGTGATTTTGTATTTTAAAAGGCGATAATGGGTGCCAGTCAGTTAAATTTCATAATCAAAGAAAGCTTAGAAAGAACTCCCGTGTGCTGAGAGTATTGAAGACATATTAAAAATTAATTCAAAATTACTTGTACTTGAGATATTGATGGAATAGCTGAAAACTAATTATGTAAATCAGGTAACTGATATGAACAGATTTAAGTGTAAAACTAATAAGGTCTGCACAATGTACCAAGTTTCATTGAAATGTGATTAGAACCAAAAAAATATTAATTATTATGCTAATTAGAGAGTTAATATGAACAGATTTTAACCCAAAATTAATCAGGCTGCCTATTGTCCTAGAGCATTTATGTACTAAGTTTTAT